AGGGGGGTTCTCTCCGTCTCATACCTTGCTGCATATGTCTGCCATGCTGTCACAATGTCATTCACCCCGGCAGGTGCCCAAGACATTGTGCATCAAGATGACGTTCTGCCAGTCGGTTTCTGCTAATAAGCCTCTGCAACTTCGAGATGATCAGGTCAGAATATCATCAGGCATGGGCAAGTTCGAGCGACGACCACTTGTCGACCACTGGTTGAGTTACCCCATTTACCTGTGCACAACATTTACCTAGGGACGGGTATACGCAGGAATTAGTTAACAAGTAATTGTGTTGTTGCTCGAACTTGCCAAACTACTTGGAGTTTTAGCGCTACGGCATTAGACATAGCGGCATGGCTGTAGACACATTGTATGGACGCAGTCTATTATATTGGACACGAAGACTTAGTCTGCTCTTGCACGGGTGAGCGCGCTGTAGACTAGAAGGCATCTTAACTGAACAGATTAAAGGGCACCTCTTTGCTACAATGTGGAAGTAGAAACGACAGACCAATTCTAGAACTGAAAACCTGAGCTCCGCACTTTCTACAGGGATATGGGCTATTGGATCACACGCCGTTTTGATGAAAGGATCATGGATACCTGTAAGAACAGCGCCCCCTAGCTGAATGACGCGGAACACCCTGCGCTTCACGGGAATTCAAACATCATTAAAGGTTTCTTTTTTCGATCTTTCGTTTCCAGATTCGGCAGGTGTTGTAAACTCTCCAGTGATAGATGTGGATCCTATCCATAATCAGCCACCAACACAGAGACGAGGATTACTAATCATTATCAGATTCACTGGCATAATCAGAACCATGTACATGTCAGTTGCCTTTTTGCCGACGTAAATCCCAATAGTTTTTGTCTATTATGTTTTTGTTTTTTCATTACTCAAAAAGTTATGAATTCATAGGGTGGCATTATTTTAGTGTAGTGAGAATAGCTCTCAAAATCTCTTATTTTTTAATTACTCCCAGAGTCTCATGACGCAAAGAGAGTACAGATGCTGAGATCTTTTATAAGGGTCAATGAAGGCAGCTGAAAGGAACTAAAACGATAACGAGGCTCTGACTGCTTGTTGTGGACGTTGACAATTTCAAAAAGTACATAATTTTTTTATCCAGATTTATATTTTACCCCTAATTTCAAATTTGCTAATTGCTAATTTGCTGCTATGTCGTTAGCCTCCGATTAATAGTACGTGCAAAGTTCAAAATTGCAAAACTACCGGTATGAGTTCAATGGTGCATTTGGTTGTTTACTTCTGACTTGGCCTCACTGACAAGTCGGCCATCTTGAATCGAAAGCGAGGCAATTCTTGTAAAAATGATTTCCAAGACTTTATATGCTTGGGAAGGAAAATAGTGCCATGAGCAATCAATGCATTACCATCCTAGTGCTCCAATGGATAGTTCCAAATTACGGATAAAATGTCACTGTCGCCATTATTGTCGAAATCAGGAACATTTTTTTTCTAAAGCGATTCTGTACATGTAATTACAGCAAAATAGTCAGGCTCTTACCCATTTCAGATTGATCAATAAATAATGTGGATTCGAGGAGCGCGCTCTAAAATGACCTGCTTGTGAATAAAGCCCATTTTTCTTATTGTTTTGTTTTCTTGGTGAGAAAATTCAAACTTTAAATATCTCTGACCTAATAATACCCGATGTTCCTCTTCACTGTTAAAAATTTCACCAAAATCTTGGTGAAACAACTAAGTTTTGAAGCTCTTCCCAAACTTCGATGAACGATGTCAGAGGTATAGATTGTTTTCTTAATAAAAATTTGGTTTTAATTTTTGTAACTTTTACAATTTTTTTTGAGGGAATTTACAACAAGCAGGCGTGTTTTTTTAATATGTCAATTGGTTGAAAAGATCAGTCTTAATTAACGATCTTTCTCCATGTCGGTATGTTTGTCTACCACGCAGTATTGTTACAATATCTTGGCAACTGATCTGGAGGTGTTTTGTTCGTAACAATCAAATCTACCAGACAATGGCGTCACTGTAAATGTGATGGCCTTCCACCCATGGCATCCGTGTTGCCCAAACAACTTTACTCAGTACATTTAAATATCACCTTTTGGGCATCCATTTGGACGCTTTTAGGGTAACAGCGGTTTTAACGTCATCTTGTGGAAACTGTGTGGAATCTTTTAGGTATATGAAAAAAGTATTGTTTGGCTTGATTCTTTCATGCGATTTTGAATTCTAAGGTTTCTGCCGAGTTTTTCACAATCACCCCCGTCTTCAGAACATTGTTACCGTGTTAAGTTTTGGGCTCTCTTGTGCACATCATTGTGTTGTCAGATTTTTAAATTGCGTCCAAATCATTGACCGTTAAAGCATTTCAATGGACCTTTCCATGAAATATGCAAATTAGACTGGCGCATGCGCGCTACTTCCACTGGTTGGCAGGTGCGGCTGTCAACACCGTTTGCAGTGTAGGGCTGCAGTGTCCAATTCAAGGAAAATTCTCCGCCAGGACGATCGAGGCGCACAAAAAGTACCCCCTAGAGATTGTTTCGAAAAGAGGGGTCTG